CTTCTCACACTTGCTTCAAAAACAAGAAATATAGCAAGACATGTGATCTTGTACGTCTGAGCAAGCACAAGTCCTCCAATCTTTTGCTCTATATAAAGCCATCATTTTCAACTAAAACCACGCATGCCCAAGCCTTGAAACACCTTAGAATCAGAAGTTGCATACCAAGCCTCCAAACTTGCCATTTCTGACTTGTGAACTGAATCTTCCATTTCACTCGTGCGTTTTCAGGCCTTTTGCTTTTCAAAGCTTCCTTACCTTACAAGTAAACCATCCCACACCCTGAAACATCACTGTAACTCCATCTTCCCCATTGTTGAAGTTTAAAAACAGAGTAACACATGTGGACTTCTCTAGACCATTCTAGCCACCCTCAAGACGAGCTAAGCATTGCATTAGCTTCCTAGAGGTTCAAGGAAGCTAACCTGATCATCACAGCATCCTAAAGCAAGCTCATTTTTAAAACACGATTTCCATTTTTAAGGTGAGTTTTCTGTTTTTCTAACTCTTAATACATGCATAGTTAGCTTTCCATTTGTGAATATAGAATGTAGACATTATTGCTATGAAGTTGTACATATCCATAACTTGCATTTATTTGGCTCGAGTTTAGAGAATTTTAAGTTTGAAGTTTTTGAAAAAATTAGGTTAAGAATTAGGGCCAACAAAATTCTCTCTGATCTTGGACTTATAGTTTTAGTTATGCACATGGTTAGAATCGTGAGGTAAAATGCTATAATGTTCATGTTATCACTTTCCATTTTTATTGAGAAATGAAAAAGTTATAGGAGGTCCGGCTGGCTAGAGGTAGAAGATGAAGTACAAGGCAAGACAATGTTTTATGTTATGTATTTTTGTTTTCATTTAGACTAATGGATGTACAGCCACCCCAGTGGTAAGACAGCGCGCAAAAATGCCCTAGGTCGTGGGTTCGAGCATTGGCGCTGCCTTTTGCAAATTTTTTCATATTTTTTCAATCTTTTTTGCCAGCTTGCAGCTTGGGCATCTATTTGTTGGGCTTGTTGTTTTTTTTCTAACATCCTACCCCTCATTTGCCTTCAGCACCCCTGGCCCAAACATTTTATTTACTTGTTTTATTTTTATTTTTATTTTATCAAATATATTTTCTTAATAATAAAAAATCATAAAAAATATAAAAATGATAAATATTTTATTTTATTTTATTTTCTCATAAACAATATTTATTTTTATTTAAAATTATATACCATCCTTTTTTATTAAACTTGTAAATTAAATTAAAATTAGGTTAAATACTTATTTTTCTTCATACCTATTAAATATTTATTTTAACATATAAAAAGACCAAAATACTTCATAAATACCATATATTATTTTCAATACAAAAATACAAAAATACTTAAAGAAATTTATTTCCTTTTAATAAATTAGAATTAGGGTTTAATCAAAATCTTCTCTAAAAAATAATTTTCTTTTCCTAATCAATTTGAGATAATCTTGATTTATTTACTAGGCTTAGGTTAAAACTTTTTACATAAAAAGAACAAAATAAAATCTTCTTTTGAATTTACATATCTTTGCATATTTAAATTATCTTGTACATTATTTATTCCAATACTTGTACAAATTCAATTTGGTTGTAATAGATTAATTAGGTTTATATTATTGCAATCCCAATTCATCAATTGTATACCCCCTCCCACAAAGTGTTGTAATAGCGTAGTAATCTTTAAATTTCGCAATTTATCGCTTTTATATACAAATGCTAGTAATTAGGGTTTGTATGGAAAGACAAAATCAACTAAATAGAAAACCCTAATCCAAGACAAAATCAAGCATGAAAATGACACACTTGCACACAAGCACCCTTAGGGTTATCCCACTTGGATGCCTTATACAAAATGGCCATATTATGCATGTAAAGTGTCTTAGCAAAAACAAACAAATACAAGATCATAAACCCTCGATGATGTTATTCCAAGTTGCCTTACAAAAATGATCTTAGTCCCTCAAAAAATACTAATATACTTTGCAACATTGCTAATCATGGTTATACGATGATCCACGCCCGTCCTGTTTACATCCAAAGATATGTTTGCTTACCAAATCAATGATAAGACAACAATGTCAAAGAAAAAGAAAATGAACAAGAAATACATTTGAGTAGGTATATTACTTTTAGTTACTTGATCCATTTCAATAACAAATATTCTTGCTATTTTCAAAAACAAACCTACACTTTCAAAACATCTTACAAAACTTGAAAACATTTTCAAAAGATCAACATCTTTGTATACATTCTTACGAACAAGAATCATTACAAAGATTGCCTAAACAATGTCCTCTTTTACAAAATACTTTCAAAAAAACCACATCAAGCACAATTTCAAACAAAAAAGCAAGTGATCTAGCAAGTAACTAAGAGCCCATGGAAAACCATGGATGAAGAGGGTGCTAATACCTTCCCTTTTCATAATCTACCCTCCGAACTCAAGAAATAATCTCAAAGGTTTTTCCTGTGTTTTTTCACCTTTCCTTTTGAATAAAAAAAAGTCGGTAACGACTCTTGCTAACCGCAACATTTGCGATCAAACGCAAAACCCTCAAGTCAGTTCTCCCATCGTATCACAGAGATATTTGTAAAAATATTTGTTTGGTTCATTTTTTATAAGGGGGGCAAAATTTCTTATAGACTCATTTTTTGCTCCCCTCCAAATTGGAGGGATTTGGAGGAAAGAAAAGATTCATTGATTAAAATTTTATTATTTTCCCAAATTTACCTTCAATTATTTATTTAATTCCAAAATTCTCCTTATTGAATTATTAAAGATTGGTTTTTTTCTGTGTTATTTCATGTTTCGTTTGTCTCCTATTTGTGGCTGTTATCTGTATGTTGTTGCTCTCATGTGAGTTTTTTACTTTTTATTTTGTTGAATTTCCCTAATTTGATATTATATTATTTACGTGTACTAGTGCTATATGTTGATATAATTATTATAATAAATAAATTTTATTATTATTGTAAGTGAATTCTTGTTGATGTTTATTCTACGATTTAACATTTAATTATTATAATAAGTGAACATTGTCGTAAGTGAGTTCTTGTTAATATTTAATCTATAATTTAAGATTATCAGAAATACCGTATGTTAGTACTTCAAATCATAAGACATATAAAGTTTGTTTTAAAAAACATACCGTATATATTCTTATCATTATAACTTATTATCAAGTTGGTTTTAATATATAATAATAGTAACAAAGCTTTTTTATGATAGTAACATATTTATATTAAATTCTTATTTATAATATATAATGGTAACAAGGTTTTTTATATTATAATATTAATAATAACAACAATATGCAAATATAGAGTATGTATATGTTATAAATAAAGGTTTTAAGTCTAATATTATTTGTTCAATTTTTCTTAACATTATAATATTATTTTACCTATTTTTAGTTATAGAAATTGTTTTATTGGTTTAGATGGATCGTCAAGATCACAAAATTGTTATTAATAAATGGTTTGGTTTGCATCGAAGAGCTATAGTTCAACTAATGTGTATTGTTGTTTACTGTTATGTTCGAATGTCTCGTAAGAGAAAATTGAGTTATAGTATGAGCTCTGAGAGAGAGAAAGGGTTCGTGAAGAAATAATGTATCAAATTAGTAACAGTAAAATTAATAGAAATATATTAAGAATGAGGCCTCAAACTTTTATGACCTTATGTGGTATATTAGAAAGAGAAGTGGGATTACAAGCTACCCAATAGTCAAGTGTGGAAGAGCAAGTTGCAAAATCAATTTACACTAGCACATAATGCTAAAAATTGTGAAGTCAACTTTTGGTTTAGTAGTTCCGGCGAGACTATAAATCGTCATCTTCATCAAGTTTTGAGAGTTATTCTTGAATAGGAAGAAAAATTTCTTGTCCAAGCTGATGGCTCAACGATCCCTCCTGAAATTTCTAATAGTTATAGATTTTACCTGTATTTTAAGATAAAATTTGTTATTAATAAATTATATTTCGTACACAAAAATACTAAAATTTCTAATAGTCATAAATTATATTGATAAAAAATATAATATTGTGTTGGTGCAATAGATGAAACACATATATGTGTCAAAGTATCTGCAAAAGATGCTCTTAGATATCGCGGTAGAAAAGACTATCCGACACAAAATGTTTTAGCAGCATGTACTTTTGATTTAAAGTTCACTTATGTGCTCGTGGGATGGGAATGATCTACCCGACTCAAGAATAATAAAGAACGCATTAACACGTGAAGATAAACTTAAAATTCCTTATTGTAATATAAGAATAACCTAGACTTATAGTTATTATTATATTATATATTTTAAACTATCACATTTAATATTTACCTTTGATATAGGAAAATATTATCTTGTTGATGATGGATTCATGTTTACTAGTGGATTAATTATCCCTTATAAAGGAGTTTGGTATCACCTGAAAGAATATTAAACTATAATTTCACCCCAAATTCTAAAGAGTTGTTTAAATTTCGACATTCCTCTTCATGCAATAACTTTCAAAGAGTCTTTGGTGTATTGAAAAAAAGGCTTGAGATTTCATCTAATTCAACAAAGCTAAATTATGGAGTCAAAGCTCAAAAATTAATCATATTTGCATGTTACGTTCTTCACAATTATCTAATGAGTGTAGACCTGGATGAAGACCCTATATCAGAAGTAGATGTTGAACTTGCAAATAAAAATGTATCTCATTACAATCATCAAGGTTCAAGAAGTGATAGAGATGAGCTTGCTATGGACGAAATTATAAAAGATAGTGTAACACATCAAATATGGTTAAATGATCAAAATAATGATTTAGCTTAATGAGTTTGAGTTGTATTTTATATTATTACATTTATGTTTGTTGTTCCTTGATGAAGTAGTGCCGAATTTATTATGATGTTTATTATGATATTGCAACTTTTTGTTAATTATATTTATTATCTTTGTTGTCTTGTAATTGTTCATTTTCATAGTTTATGGCATCGAATAAGAAATTACCAATTAATAATGGTAATTCTGAAAATTTAACTTGGAATAGAGTCATGGATGATGCTCTTGTTGATGCTTTTATGCATAAATATGAAAAAGGGAACAAAGTCAACGGTACATTCACTACATCAACATATGAAAATATTGCAGTTGAACTTCGTGCATTGTTTGGGAACAAAGTTGACAAGGTGAAGATAAAAAATTGTTGGAAAACTTTGAAAAAAACTTTACTGAATATTATGACATTTTTAAAGGTGGTATGAGCAGATTTTCTTGGAATTCAACTACACAATTATGGGATGCCCAGTCAGAAGTTTGGGATGCTTGAGGTAACTTTTGATGAATTTTTTGTATTTTAAAATATTTTATAACTTTTAATAATCTTATATATTTTATTTATCAATGTTTTCAATCAAAACCAAAAAAATCAAATTGGAGAAATGTACCACTTCCAAATTATGAGAAGATGTTGATACTTTATGGATCTAACCAAGCTGATGGAGAGAAATATGAAACTTTAAAAGAGACAAGGAAATAAAAGGCATGGATTACCAATGAATATTTTGTTGAAACTATTCAAGATATTTAAAAAGATAATGTGAGAAAATTGTCTGCTTTTCTCATTCATTAGCAAAGGATTATATACAACAGATTTCCTAAACTACATGCCTAAAAATCAGGAGATATTGATGAGGAAATTATATCTTAGATATATTATTAAAGTACAAGAGATATACTAGGAGCTACCTATGTTAACTGTTAATTATATGTTAAAGTACAAATGCTAATTATTTACTAATTAAATGCTAAAATACAGCTACTAACTATTAACACAATACTCCCCTTCAAGTTGGAGCATGAGAATTTCGAATGCCCAACTTGCGAAGAAGGAACTGAAACTGTTGCTTATCGAGAGCTTTGGTAAAAATATCCGCTAGTTGCATGTTTGTATGAACATGGAAGGTAGAAATGTTACCCGCTTGAATTTGATCTCGAACGAAATGGAAATTAACCTTAAAATAAATTCATAATTAGTAGCAGACATAGAGCCACTTGAATATCATAAAATAAACGCATAGGCATGGAATGGCGAACTCCAAGAGACTTAAGTAAATATTTAAGCCAAATGAGTTCATAATTAGTAGCAGACATAGAGCGATATTCGGTCTCAGCAAGGGTCTGAGAAACATTTGGCTGCTTCTTAGTCTTCCAAGAAACATGAGAAATACCCAACATAATAAAGTATCCAGTGAGAGATCGACGAGTTAAAGGAAATGTAGCATAATCAGAATCACAATAAGCGATAAGTTGCAAAGAACTATCCTTAGAGAGGAAAAGACCTTGCCCTAGATGTCCTTTTAAGTAATGAAGAACTTGTAGAGAAGCATTCCAATGTGCTTGTTTAGGACTTTGCATAAGTTGAGATAAAGTATGAACTACATAACAGAGCCCTAGACGTGTAATGGTGAGGTAAATCAATCGACCAACAAGCCATCTATAACGATCAGAATGATCAACGTTAAGAGTTGTATCAAGAGTTAATTAGTGATTTTTTCCATGGGAAAATCACACGGTTTTGCACCAACCAAACCAGCTTCGGAGATGATATCCAACACATATTTTTGTTGAGACATAAATAAACCATCGAGTCCACGGGCAATCTCAAGACTAAGAAAATATTTCAAGACTCCCAAATATTTCATGTGAAAATAAGTGCTAAGATAAGCTTTGAAATGAGAAATTAATGTTGATTCATTACCCTCAATGATCAAGTCGTCAACATACACAGGTATGTGAAGAACAATACCATGTTGTTCAAGGGAGAACAATGAGTAATTGACATATGATTGAACAAACCCGAATGACTTTAAGGCAGAAGCAAGCTTAGAAAACCAGTTACGAGGGGCATGACGAAGTCCGTACAAAGATTTCTCAATCTGCAGACCTTCCCAAGAGAAGAACTTGAAAAACCTAGAGGAAGGCTCATATAAACCTCTACATCAATGTCTCCGTGTAGGAAAGTGTTGTACCCCAAAATTTGCCCTCTCATTTTTCAGGAAAATCACCCTGGATTCTCAAAGTTCTCTCTTATACAAATCCAAGCCTTGAATTATCATTCATTTCCAAGCAAGCCATCTACAAGGGCAAAATGGTCATTTACAAGCTAAAAAAACAAACTTTGGTTTTTGGATCAAAAATCAAAACACAAAAAAAATCATATTTCATCCAGACATGTTGGAATATGAAGTTTGTTTCATCAAGAAGCTCAAAAGTCAAACTTTTACCTTGAAAAAGTTAAAATTCTAAATACTTAGAATTTTTCTAAAGTATTTAAGAAAAATGACACTTCAGAACTTCTGAACCAACCTCCAGGCAACAGTAGTCAGAAGTTGCAAACTTGGCTCAGCACATAACATTCAGTCAGAATATGGCTCTTCAGCAGCTACGCCAATTCAGTCAGAATGTGGCTCTTCAGCAGCTACGCCAATTCAGTCAGAATGTAATTCTTCAGCAGCTACGCCAATTCAGTCAGAATGTAGCTCTTCGGCAGCTACGCCAATTCAGTCAGAATGTAGCTCTTCAGCAACTACGCCAATTCAGTCAGAATGTAGCTCTTCAACAGCTACTCAAGTTCAGTCAGAACCTGCCAAGATAAGAACAGAAGATTATAAAACATGCTGGAAAGACTAGAGAGCCCTCAGAATTTGCTAAGGCAGCAGGATACCAAATTTCTGTTTGAGAAAGCCCAAAGCTATTGGAATTCCTTAGACTTGTAAGCTTTTGAGGAAATTGTGGCTCTCCTCATCTATGGAATGGTTTTGTTTCCCAATCCTGACCAACTCATAGATGTGAGTGCCGTCAAAATCTTCATGTCATGCAACCCGGTGCCTACATTGCTAGGGGATATCCTACACTCTTTTCACACTCGCACAATGAGGAAAAGAGGTGTCCTTATGTGTTGCACTCCTCGCCTGGAAAGATGGTTTATTTCTCATCTTCCTCAATCAGTCTTAAAGAATGAGCAAGGATTAAAGTGGTCACAAAGGTTAATGACGCTCAAGAATTCAGAAATTCATTGGTGCTCTCGATCCAAAGAGAATGTTATCATTGTTGACCGTTGTGGGGAATTCCCTAATGTCCCTCTACTTGGCATTAGGGGAGGTATCACCTACAACCCATGCTTAGCTCTAAGACAATTTGGTTATGCCCAAAGGGATGACCCACATGAGATGTTGATTCAAGGCTTGGTATTCGACCACGACAACGACAATCAAGGTCTTCGCTAGAGATTCATCCGAGCATGGAGGATGCTAAACAAGGTGGATAGCAAGACTTTGGGACACAAGAATTCCATCGCTCTTGAGCCTTACCTCAAGTGGGTACGAACCCGCGCTCAAAGTCTTATGATGCCTTATCCTTCCATCCTTCCAGTGATCATTGAGCCTGTTAAGGAAGGAGAAGTTCCATACACTATCCTACATCCTGACATGCCCACATCTCTTGAAGACCTACAAAGGGATTGGATACAGCTCAAAGGAGAGCGAGATACTTTCGAATCCCAATTCTACGCAAGCGAGAAGAAGGTTTTGGAACTCACTAGGCTACTTCATGAGGAGCAGACTCTAAATGCCTACATAGCACCAAAGAGGATGCACACTACTTGTTTATCTTAGAGTTTTGTATTATTTAGCCCAAGTGACATTGATGTACTCAAACTCTATTTTATTAATATAATATGTGTTTCTTTTTGTCTAAAACGAACTTGAATCTTTTTAAAAATCCTTGAAAGCATTGCATGTGTACATATCATTCATCATAACATAAATAGGTCTTTCACAACGAGTTTCCTCATGTCTCTACTGTTTATTTCAGTAAGATGGATCTCGAACAGACAGTCAAAGATCTTCAAGTTCAAAACACGCAGTTTCAACAGTTACTTACAACCTTGGCCAAGGGGCAAGAGGAATTAAAGACTCTGTTGGCCAAAGAGGAGAAGAAGAAAGAGAAGAAACCAACTGGTGCTGTAATCATGGGGAGAAGGTTTCAAGGACAAACTAGAAGAATCTTGAATTTCGCAGCAACATCTGATGAAGGAAAAGGGAAAGAAACAGCGGTTCCGTTAGAATTTGAGGAGGAGGAAGAAGAGGAAGACTACTCCAAAGAACAATATCCCCCCGCAGATGATAAGTACAGACATCTTGAAAAGCGTCTGAACGCTATAGAAATATAGAGGGTGTCGGGTCTAGACTTTGAAGAATTGGGACTAGTATCGGGAATGGTGATCCCACCAAAGTTTAAAGTGTCGTTGTTTGCAAAATATGATGGGGTGTCATGTCCTAAGATGCACCTCCGATCGTATGTGAGAAAGATTCAACCGCACTCCGCCGATAAAGACTTGTGGGTCCATTTTTTCCAAGATAGCCTATCTGGAACACAACTCGATTGGTTTTACCAATTGGAAAGGGCCGATGTCCACAACTGGGAAGATCTTGCCGCAACTTTCTATAACAATACCAGTATAATGCAGATTTGGCGCCTACCCGTACTTAACTTCAGAGTATGGCTATGGCTTCAAATGAGGGTTTCAAATATTACACACAGAAATGGAAAGATCTAGCCGGGAGAGTACAACCCCCTTTGTCTGAAAGGGAGTTGGTGGATATGTTCTTAGGCACTCTATCGGGCCCTTTCTTCAACCATTTGATTGGAAGCTCATCTGCTGGATTTACTGAGTTAATACTAACCGGAGAGAGGGTGGAAGCTAGCATAAAAAGTGGAAAGATTCAGAAGGATTCATCTGCCTCTACAGCTGTGAGAAGGCCTTTCACTGGGAAGAAGGAGGTATCTGCTGTTTATCCACAAAGGAATCAAGGGAAAGCTGAACGTCGACCAATGGTAGGGGCTGTTATGATCCCAAAGCCTACATCAGATCAACCAAGAAATAACCAACCGAGGGTGGAAAGGTCAGTCCATAAATTCACCAGAATTAATATGACTCTAGCCCAGGTTTTACCACATCTTCTGAAATCTAATTTGACAACTCTGAAGGAAGCTCCAAAGAACCCCAACACTGCATCCCCTCATTATTACCCGAATGCCAGATGCGCATATCATTCCAAAAGTCCGGGTCATGACACTAACAACTGTTGGGCCCTAAAAAACAAAATTCAAGACCTTATAGATGCAAAAGAGATTGAGTTTGATGCGCCCAATAAACCAAACGTCATTTCCTCTCCTATGCCTAGGCATGGTCACAACACCAATGCTATCGAAGAAGATTTGTTTGTTACCACAGTTGATGAACTCTTGACTCCGCTCCCAATCATTAAGAT